CTAAATTTTAAGACTTAGACTATCTCTATTATTTACTAGGTTACTATAGCTTTGGTATATTCCAAACATGTATTAGTTATAACATTTGTTTTATTGATAATCTTGTGTAACTTATTGCAAGGGATGTTTGTTAAATTTTGATTAAGAAAACCCATATGTTAAGTATAATATCTACAGAATTATAAAGAATGATAAAGATTTTAAAAAATTTAGAGGTCTTCCAATTTTTTCTTTCATCTGTTTCAACTTTCTGGCACTTATGATATTTATCTAACATTGCTTTATTATAGTCCTATGGATATGTGTAACACAAATCCAGTGGCACTTATGTATGACTTTTCTAACATTACTTTTTCCCATAAACCATGTCATATTTTAGCTGTGAACAGAAAATGTGCTACTTGAGTTTACTAGCTAATTTGCTGTCTCTTGCTTGTGAACAACTACTACATGCCAGTTATTTTTTGGCAGCAAGGATAGGTCCCACAGGCAGTTAGGTTAACAACACAGAGACTGATTTATTCTGGTAACAAAGCTCACTTTTTTGTTATTGCTGATTTTAATTAATGATATTTCTAACAGGTGCTCGATTCGCTCGATATGATAGCCACCGCTGGACATCATATTACAGACATGATGGCTTGGGAGCCCTATTGCCACAAGGAGAAGAGGATATATACAAAGATAAGATTGAAGTCCGATATAATAAGAAACGTGGAAATCATGATAACCTTTGCAATGAGGCTGTCAGGATTGTGTATAAGTATAAATCCCCTGGAGATCTTGTTCAGGGAAACAGAGATGTTTCCTATCATGTTGTCCAATATTTGGAAAAGTTACCAGACTATGTAGAAACCAAGGTAAAACAAGACAAAGAAGTACAAGACACAGAAATTAGAGAACTTGAGGAAATGGCTATGAAAGAGAAGGCAGTAAAACAGGCAGAAAAGGAAACATGTTCACCACAAGCAGCATCAAGCAGCTTTGGAAGAAAGAGAAAGCCAAACAGCAGGTACACAGATTTATACAAAGTGGAAATGACCACAACAAAGTCTCAGCATTATAATGAAGAAGATACAAGAACAGACTACGAGGATAGTGAGTATGAAGATGAACTCTATGGAGAAATGACAGGGAGCCCCAAAATAACTGAAGTGAGGAAACTGATTCGTGGAAAACGAGGCCGACCTCCCAAAGTGAGAGGGAAAGGACATGGTCGACATGGTGGGACAACATGGATGGCTGGGTATGGTGCAGAAAAGACAAAACCAAAGAGTTCAACCTTGTTCAGAATGTGTGAAGACGACGATGATGATGATGATGACGATGTTGAAGAAGAGGAGGAGGAAGAGGAAGAAGAAGTGATTAAGGAAGAGGGAGAAGAGGCGATAACAAATGACTCAGTGCATGTTAATCTCCAGAAAGTAATTGATGATGAAAAGGAAAAAGAGAAGAGAACTCATGACATGAAAGGAGATGAAATGGACATAGATTCTGGACAGATATGTAAGTGTTAATGTCCAATGTAAATTAGAAATGTTTATTTTGAGTTTATCAGGTAGGCCTAGTAATTAACCTCTTGGTGACTATGCACTTGTGGAACCATTTTAGTGTAAACAAAATGAATAAACTAAAATCACAGTGAACTGGGCATGTATATTAATATGTATATATTAATCAACTGGTGAATGTATGTTTTGACAGATTTTTTTTTATCATTGATTGATTTTTCATTGAGTTCATTACATTTCAGGGTACTGTGTTGACTTTCCCTCTGCAGCCATGAAAGCCTCAATTCCTTTGACATTGTCCCAAATAACAGAAACTTTTGGTAAGTTTGATGATTATCATTAACAGCATGTAGTGTAAATTAGAAATGTTCAAGTTTTTTGTATATATCTTTTATATCCATTTGTATTATAATTTAATTAGGTATGTCTTGCATATGGATTTCAGAGAAGATCATTCAAGGAAAGATGCTGGTATATACTTCTCAAGTTTTGATAGCAAAATCAGGAGATGTCTTTGCCCTAGCTGATGAAGTTGGTAAGTTGTGAAATAAACAAAATCATATAAAGTTTTGCTATTTATATATACAGCTGATAATCAGTTATATCTAAAAAAAAAATGATAACTTCGTTTCATGTAAATTTGTAAGGGAAGCAAAGAGAAGATTTTTATAGGAATACTATTGCTTTCCTATAACCCTTTGTCATGTCATAACTATACTGTTTATGAATGGTATATACACCTATGCTATATTCGTTGGGCCAACTCTAAGTTGCTCTCTTGTTTTGCTGTTACTGCAGCTGTTACTTTATAGCCTCATTCTCTGGCGAAGAGGGTGGGAAAATTATGTTTCCCATGTATCTGATTTTTCCCTTGAGTCCAATTTGGCACAGGAAGTTCCTGTTAGTGCAGGGTTAAGATATTCATATATACTGGAGAATATTGATTTGCAGTTTTTGGTCTGTTGTGCATTAGAATTGAAAGGGATTAATTTTGAAATCTATTTCAGCCCTTAGTGACAGTGAGTTGTGGTCAATGAAAAGTAGCTTTCCTCAGCAAAATATGCCTTGTTTGACTGTCACATGGTATGATCGCACTACAATTCCACAGGATTGTTTTGATCTGCAAGATAAGCAGCCTGATATCAAGGTGAGTTTGCAGAAAGAAGCTGGTGCTATATACTTATTTTTAGTAATTTCTGGTATTATCTTTTGGTGCATACTTCTTATACAATCACAAGTGGCATTCAAAATATCATTTATTTATATATATATATATATATATATATATATATATAATATATATATATATATATATATATATTAATATATATATATATATATATATATATATATATATATATATATATATATATATCATTCTGCAGTCTTCATGTAACATGCATAGATTATCTGAACTGTTTTCAGTGTAGTTTAATTTACTTTATGTCAGCATATCTTAGGTACCACAATTTCAACTTTCATGATGAAGACATAGTATAGAAATGCACCTTTGTGTATGAATATAGGGCAGGTGTTTCTCTTAAGTTTTATTTTGCTTTATTATCTCTAGAGATCATTTGTAAAACACAAATCAGATTGATATGATGAAAATCTCTTTAGGTATGGTAAAGGTAACATAATCAGAGAAAAATTACTCACTAAACTTTTAAAAGTATAAACTAATTACAATTCATCTTCCAGCAGATCTGCAAAACAAAACTTTCTAAAAGTATTAACTAATGACAACACATCTTCCAGCTAATCTACAAATCAAAAAAACATGCCAAATTCTGCATGGTTCACTACCTCACCCTAGAGTCATCTGGCTTGAAGTCTCCTGTTATCTTGTCTGGATCTGATACCCCAAGCTCAGACTCTGTCCTGCAGTTATTAGATGATCCAGAAACCATATCAGAATGTTTTGATGATCTGAAGATTAATGCTCTCCATGCGAGTGAAAGCATAGCAAGCACGTCAGTAAAGAGTACTCAGGAAAATAAGTTGAGTACAGAAAAGAAGGGAAAGTCTCCTGGACGGCCAAGGCATAGGGGACTGACAAGCGAAGGGGAGCTTGAAACCAAAGGGAAGATCTTTAGAGAAGGGCAACAGGAAGGGAGAAAAAGGGAATATGCAGATGGTGAGCACTAAAACACAATTGTTATTATTGATTAATTTATTTCATTTATCTGTTTTTTGTCAAAGCTAATCAAAATTTGAAAACTGACAGTCTGAGAAGAAAAATACTAGTTATCATTGATGCCAGTATATTCATACATGATGCAGTTTAGTGAGGTACATAAAAATTCCTGTTGTTGCCCAGTAAAGTACCTTAGATAGATATATGATTATAAAGAAAAATGTATATCTGAAAGATAAGGATCAGTCATCATAAATGCTGTTAACTGCTGTAGATTACGTCTTATACTTAGTCTTACTGTAATTGTGTTTCAGATGAGCCCCAGCCTTTCCGCATTTATACTAAAGGGAAACTGTACCATGCTGATGCAGATGAAATATTTAGTAAGGAAGATTTATTACTCATTTTGCAATTAGCATTTTTATATGATAGCTGTAGCATTTGTATAACATTTAATAGTCATCCTAATACTTTAATCTTTTTCCTTTACCTTTATAGAAAAAGTGGAGGCAGGGGAAATTACTGTATACAAAGATGAGATAAAAACACCTCAATATGGAGATATGTATGTCCTTGATAAGAATTTTGGTAAGTATTTATTTGATTTGAAGAACTCTTTCACTATATCTAGTTAAATGTCTATATCTGTAGTTAACTGTAAAACACAGACAGTGTATGATGATACATAGTAGATTAGTATAATGTTAATTACTTATTTACTTTAAGATTTATCATTCTTTTGCAGTTCCATTTAGTGATTCAGTTCCCTGGGTGAGGGAGTACTACTATAAGGCTCACAATATACTCATGGAAAGGTTCACATTGCGTGATTCCAAAATGGTGTTCACTCATCCGCTCCCTCCTGCAGCAAAGTCTGTTTTCACCCTTGTTGAAAATGAGCCTCAGTTGTGCATTGTACATTATGAAAAAGGCAACATTGGACGTGGAAAGATAAAGCAGAAGGTATTACAGCAAGGGTTGTTACCTCTTTGTATTTGGTAGTCTTTTGTCTTTTTAATATCAGAAGGCTATGAATAGCAGCATTCTGTTTAATTGAGTTATCTGTTATTCATACTTTAGGATGTATGCAAAACTGGTTTGCAATTACACTGCAGCATTGTTTCATATATCGTAGATGAACTTTAGTAGAGATAAGCTAATTTGCATTTATCATTGAGAAAAATATTTTTTAGTTTGCAGTATGTCCCAAAGATCTAAACCTTTTTATTGTTAGGTTCAGTAGCTCATGGTACAGTTTAAGTCAGAGCTCTTGTGTGATTTTTGGTTAAACTCCGATCAGTTTGCTCATAAAGATCCAGACTTACAAGTTTTGAATATCACTGTAATTATATTTTGGGGGTAAGCTATATTTATGTTAACATTATATTAGCAAAATACTTGGATTTCTTTCCAGTCTGCAAAATCAGAAGAGCAAAAGGAAGGAGAACGGCACAAAAAGATATACACAGAATCCAATTCAAACTTGACACTGTCACTGGTGGCTGCAATGCTTTCCAATCCTGATGAGAAAAGAATTGTCAGTGCTCCAATACTTAACCCGCAGCCATTCCAGGTGTACCTCCTGAGGTTACCATCAGAAGATAATGCTAGTAAGTTTCGTTCTGGCTGTTGAAAACAATTATTTTTTTTAAGTAAAAAAAAAAAAGCATAACTTACATGTTTTGATTTTAAAGTATGAGAAAATCCCAATTTTCATATCAGTGAAAGTTTGAGTTTATAAAAACACATATATTCTTGATGTGTTTTCCTCATTTTCCTTGGAAATTTACCATTCTCTTTTTTCACAGAAGTAATTGATAACTACAGATGGACAGACAAAGGCTTTAAGCGGTGGCCTTTAGGAGTAAGCAACTCGGAGACAAAGCTGCTCTGTTTCCATTGCCCAATGAAGATGGCACGCACCGCCATGTGTACAGCCCTAATGAGACACGAGTTCAAGCACACAACAGCTTCCCCTGACCTTAGAGTGGTACACTACATGCCTACAAGAGAGTTCAGGGAATTTATTGTTATTTCAAATGCTGCCAAACAGGTACACTTTCATGTTTGTAACTAGTATAAATTTGCAGTATGTATCTTTTATAGAAATTTGAAGTTTAATTCATACGAGGTATATATTATTCAGTAAGTAAATGCAACGTTATTGTTACAGCTCCAAATGACATCTGAGCTGGCGAGGGAGGGCTGGGAAAACATGGAACTGGAGTCAGAGGCACCTCTCTATGTTTCTTCGAGTCGCCTCAAGCCTATCACAGTGTGGGACCTGTTGACCAGAGATGCTCAACATGCCAGTCTTACAGGTCTTGTTAGGATGGAGATCATCAACCCTCAACCTGGGGGTGTTTACCTCAGTACCAAATGTGAGTGCTCATCCTCTTATTCATATCATTATTGTTATCAATGATATTGTTATTATTTTTGTTATTATATATTGTTATTGTTATTATTGTTATTATGATTATTATCATAGTCATTATTATTATTATTATTATTATTATTTTATTATTATTATTATAATTATTATTATTATCACTCTTATAGATCTTCCTTACATTTACTTTAAGCCTTTGATCTGCCCTTTCCCCCTTCCTTCCTCTTCCTCCTTATCTTCCCAACCTCCTTCACTCTCTCAACCCCTTCCTTCTCTCCCTTATCCCCTTGTCTCTGAGCCCCTTCTCCCATCTACCCTCCCTATCCCCTAACCCATCACCTTTCCCCTTCCCATTTCTATTTAAGCACCCTTCCTCTTCAAGCCTCTGTATTCTTCCTTTCTTCTTTTCCCTCCTTTCTTCTTTGTTTCCTTTCTTATCTGCTATACTTTTCCCTTCCCCACCAACCTTCCTTCTTTAATCTTCCAACTTGAAAAGTTATCTAAATGATAATTGTTCTTAAGGGGCCGTCACACTCGAAAACGAAGTTCATTATTTATTATTGGATTTTTCCTATTTTTTAATATGATATATATATACAGTGATAAATACTACCAAGTTTCATATCATTTGAATAATAAACAACAAAGTTTTATTTTCTTTATGAGTTTTTGAACAATCACATAATTTGATATTCGCACTTTATCCATAAACCAAACTTGTTGAAAAAAATACCACATATACCCTATAGCAAAACCTAAAATCTCTATTAGATTGATTTTTGAATTTCCTTTTAGTTTAGTGGGAATTTACTTTTTTCCAAATGCTCAGTCTTTTGAACTAAAGCTATAATATATGGACTTCTATTACGGGAATGAAATATCGTCAGATAGAAAAAATTGCAAATTTATTCAGCTTTCAAATGCCCTAAACCCCGTTACAATCGTCAAAGTAGTTATGGAGAAATAGAAAAAGCATTGACAAAGGTGTAGTTTTGAGATATCGAAGTTCAGGATACTTTTCCCTCGATTTTTTGTTTTGTTTTGTTTCGTTTTTTTTAGAATTTGTATCTTTGTCAATCTTGCTGCATTCTATGGCATTCACATGTTATTCTGAAGTGTAGCTGGTACCTGGTCCACTCCTTTTGCAAAGTACTAATGGCAATAATTGCACATGGTTGTAGAAGTAGAGTGTGTCATCACAGGCTTCTTAGTGCCAAACCTGACCATGTGAGGTATTTCATATGTATAAACAACTACTGCTGCAGTGATTGAGAATTATTTGTTATCATATAATGTTTATTAGATACAAAAATAACATTACAATTAGTTGTGTCCCCTTCCTGTGTGGTGAGGATGTACGTCTGTGAGATGGTGTCATGGAGGTAGGAGGTAGCAACAAATTGCTGTGATTTCTGGTTGAGTTTTGTCTCCTAGAGTCCCAATCTTGGCAATCAGCTGATGGGTAAACAGAGTTGCCCGCTAGCTACCAGAGAATGCCAAAATAAATTGAAAAATATCTGAAAAAAACAAATTTGCTGCATATATTTGCAAGGACGCGACAAAGTAAACATCGGAGCGAGAGGCGGGGGGGGGGGGTCAGAGATTTAGTTATAACTATGTATTTAGCAAAATTATTACATCCCTGGTTTGCCAAAGCCTACTAGATTACAGGGGATTTTTTTCAAAAATTTCAATTTTTTTTGTCACGACAGCCCCCTTCAGCTGACACTTTATAGTATAGTGTACTAGCCTCATAGTAGAAGTTAACCCATTAGCGGTGTTATATTTTGAAGGCGAAAATACTAGTTTCTGGGCGGTTTCAAAATCAGCATGTGGGGCTGGCCCGGAATCTTCCCATGCGCCGGCCGCAGCCTGCAAGGGAATTAGAGCGCAAGCTCCAATCTAGTGTCACACTGGCGGGATGCCCGGCAATTTTTTTTTCTGGATGTCTCATATGTGAGACACCCATCGTAAGTGGGTTCATAATAATGACAGCAACAATATTATGATGATCATCATCTTCATCAGTAAAGAAGTCTGTTTCAGAAACAGACCATATACAAGATTATACCACAATAAGATTTTTACAGCAATGGAAGATTCGCTGGAAAGTCCAGGTGATTTACAGCACTTTCAATTGTACTATATTTTTTCCAGATGAAGCACCAGATTTACTGGTTTGGGAAGAATTAGGAAGAATCCAGATTCAGCCAAGGCTGTACCAAATAGTAGAGGTTTGTGAGAAGATCAGTGATGCACAACCATATCTCCTGAGGTTGTGCTACACGTCACCTAAGGTTCCCCACAAAGTTTTAGTGCATTACTTGGGTGACACAAGACCATATCTCATTAAGGAATGTGAGATAGTGATTGATGAGTACACTGGAGAACCAGCATATATAACCAAGGGATTGTGTAAGGTTTATTGTCTTGACATTTTAAAATGGCATATATGATGTTGTCTTATTCACCACATAATGGGGAATAAATTAGAGAGTAGTGTGATTATAAATTTTGATATATATATATATATATATTATATATATATATATATATATATATATATATATATATATATACATATATATATATATATATATATATATATATATATATATATATATATATATATAATGTAATATATATATATATATATATATATATATATATATATATATATATATATATATATATATGTGAGTTAATGGCATAAGTGAATATCCTTGCGATATTTTCTGATGAACAGGGAAGAAAGGGAAACGTAAGGCCTACTTGAGTTCAGAATATGCACTGGCAGAAGAGAAGCTGTACCGGATCAGCAGCCATCACATGAGGGATGTTGGTTGTATGCCACTCAAGCTAGAAGACCTTGACATTACAGTTAAGCTTGATCCTCACAACCTCCCTGATGACAAAGAGGAACTAATAGCTCCAGGTGATAATAGTACCTCCTGTTGTCATTTTTTGCATATGATAAGTATGACTGTCTTCTGGTCTTTTGATACATAATGATGAATTATTGAAAATACTTACTCTGGAATGGATAACTGCAGGTAATCAATAATCTTTTTTTCTATTTCACACTTCATGTATGATATGTATGAATATATCATCTGACCCTGTTATTCATTTTTGATATCTTAAAACTTGCAGTTTTTTAGATAATAAACTGATATTTTGCCTTACAGATAAACCAGGTCTCTACCTTTATGGCCACAGAATGATGAAGAAGAGGATAGTTCGTCTCCTAGGTAAGCTGAACTTAAATATATTCTGTGTTTGATATTTATTCTTTGAAATTTTGTGTATCATAGTATCAGATACAAATATGAAAACATCTTTAAGATAGGAAGATGATGATCACTAGTCAGAATTATTTCTGTTTTATTAGAAGTTATGTAATGGTATTTACCAATTTATTTAGCATATTGCTTTCAAAACAGAAATAGATGAACACTAAGAAAGTAGACACCAACTTAATATTTTTTTTCAATTTTGTATTCCAGAAAATCTTGATCGGAGTCGCAAAACACAAATTCCTATAAAGAATCCTGAGGCAGGAGAAGCATATTTAGTGACAAAACCCTCAGGAAGTAAGTAAAAATTGAACACATTGTATCACTTTTATGCATTTTGCAGTTGGAATTGTTGACACTATATTAGTTAACACTGCATGTCCTAGGACAAGGAAACTTCGGACTCTTGAGATGCTATCTTTAAATATTTTTCTTTCATTACTTTTGAAATTATAAGGAAGAAGAAAACAAGACCCTTTTCTTTTTTTCAGCACCTTTTGTTAATTTCACAAATAACAAAGTAAACAGTGTAGTAACTGGATATTGAATATTTAGTTCACTTTTGAATAGATATGATATAAGAAAAGTAGGCAGGACATATATGTTTGCCATATATCCAGTGTATGTTTTTTTCTGGTTTGTGATTGTGTGTATGTATAAGTGTATTTGAATTAATTTGCATGTGCATGTATATGCACTGATACATTTTTAAAGTAATTAATACCTACATATATTGATCACAGCTAAGGCAGCTATAGACTCCTACAAATGGACCCAGAAAGGCTGGCAGCCTATACCTCGGAAGGACCCCCTAGTTTTGTGGCGCTGGGGATTGCTGCGGCACAAAAAACAAACATGGGCACCACCTCTGATCCGCATAGATTATGTGCACCTCAAAGTCAACACAGATCTCATGCTAGTCCATTATATTCCAACCAAAGATAATGAAATGATGCTGGAAATTAAGAGTGCTATTGTACCAGTAAGTAACATTTCTATTTATGATTTGTAGGTATTAAGTCTTGCAGTTGTAAATGATTGATTGAAAGTTTTGCCAAAAAAATTGTGTATATGCAGTCATTATTTTCACTGGTGAATTAGAGTAGTGAGGAAATCATAGATCTGTCACTAGGAACAGAACCACTGCTGTTACAAAATTATTACAATCCTCTTTGTACAGTATTTTTGTTTATCAAGATTTTTATTAATTTATTTGCATATATGATCCAGAATTGGTATAGAATTTCACCTGCAAGGCATAAGGTAATTTTATGTTAAATTAACAAATGTTGCAACTGATTGTCTTATGACTATAAAAGTGTGTTTTCCCAGGTCCGTGCCCAAACACATTCTCTCCTGTCCTTGGGGGATGTAAACTTTGGTCAGCACTCTCAGTTGTTAACTAACAGTGCTCTTCCTCCAAGCCACATATGGGAACTGCTTAATGCTGGAGGAGGGTTAGCAGAGCCACTCACTGAGCCTCAACCTGGGGGTGTTTATGTTATTAATGTTGGTGCCAAAGGTATGTTATTGAAAAACAAAATCCAACTTTTACTTCTGTGAGAAAGATTTGTGGTATGGTAATGTTTATGCAATATCTCATTTCAATTATTTTGTCTGTAAATTCTTTTCTCTCAACATAATTTTCAGAGAAGTTGGACTTGTATCGCTGGAAGACAGTAGGTGACATTCGACTGTCTTCCAATGACTATGGCCTGATGGAAACATCCTACCTTATTACATGGGAGCCAGAAGGACTCTTTGCTCGCCTCACCTACCACACTCCTCTTATCAAGAACAGAACAGTTATACATTACCTTGGGGACTGCAGACCTTATTATGACAAAGCAAAGGTTACAATCTTTGGCATATGTTTGCAATTTTTCTCATTATTTAGACAATAAGATAGCAGTCAAAAATGTATTTTATGCTATTTGTAAGGTAGTGACAATTTATTCCTCTTAGAGAATACTAATAAGTAATAGGTAATTATCATAACATTAAATTGCTTCCTTCAGGCTGAGGAAGAGGAACGTCAGAAGAAATTGGAGTACATTAGGAAGAAGACTGGGAGCTCTCTAGATATTGATTCTGTTGGTGGTCATGATGCTCATCTGTCTCTTTCGGACATTGGCCCTCGAGATGCTGCCACAGAAGCAGTTGGCTCCATCTTAGCAGGCTTAGGATCTAATATCATGGACACTGATAACCTAAATCAAACTTTTGCAGAATTAGGTAAATTATGCAGTATATATTCTCTTTGAGTGTGTTCCTAAGGACAAAATCTCTCTCTCTGTCTCTCTTTCTCTCTCTCTTTCTCTCTTTCTCTCTTTCTCTCTCTCTCTTTCTCTCTTCTCTCCTCTTTCTCTCTTCTCCTCTTTCTCTCTTCTCTCTCTTCTTTCTCTCTCTCTCTCTCTTTCTCTCTCTCTCTCTCTTTCTCTCTCTCTCTTTCTTCTCTCTCTTTCCTCTCTCTCTCTCTCTCTCTCTCTCTCTCTCTCTCTCTCTCTCTCTCTCTCTCTCTCTCTTCTCTCTCTCTCTCTCCCATCTCTCTCTCTCTCTCTCTCTCCTCCTCCTCTCTCTCTCTCTCTCTCTCTCTCTATCTCTCTTCTCTCTTTCTCTCTCTTTCTCCTCTCTCTTTCTCTCATCTTTCTCTCTTCTCTCTCTCTTTCTCTCCCTCTCTCTTTTCTCTCTCTCTTTCTCTCTCTCTCTTCTCTCTCTCTCTCTTTCTCTCTCTCTCTTTCTCTCTCTCTTTCTCTCTCTCTTTCTCTCTTCTCGCTTCTCTCTTTCTCTCTCTCTCCTC